GTGTATGTCTTGCTCGGTTAACCAAGAGCGCCCTGTGCTGGAGACAGCCCCTGCTGGCGGCGTTTTTATAGTAGTTGGTTGCATTTGCAGCACTCCGTGGCTCTGTCAGACTCTCTTTGTGTTGGTCTTTATTGCAGGTGCTGTGTGGATTCTTTGAACAGTTGGCCGGTGTACCTGTTGGTTCGGAGGTGGCCCGACCTTGCTGTTTGTCGTGCTGGGTTTCGTCATCCGTATCCCTGCTGTCAGCGCCCTGGGCGCGTGGAGCGGTCGTTATTGCAGAGCCGGTTTTCAGTTCAAGCCCTAGTTGGCCGTTTAGTCAACCCTCAGCGGGCACATGTTTGGCATTCTCGCGTGTCTATCGTCCATTCCTTCAGTGGGCGTCCGTCAGCGTTTGTTGAGGGATCCGTCGCGTTTGTGGCCGGTGGGTCAGTCTGTGCGCGGTTGGAGAGCGCTGGTTTGACCTCGTCCTTGTGGTTTTGGCAGCGTTCTGTTTGTTTGCTCTTTTGCCTGTGTAGAGATGGCGTGTCCGCCGTCCTTGCTGCTGGAGTATCGTTTGGAGGTCGTTGAGGCGTTTTGCTTGGGGAGCTTTATTTCGTGTCGCTGTGTGTGCCTGTCTGGCAGCTCTCGCGTCCTTTGTCCCTCTAGCGGCCCGTCGCGTTGCGCTGTTTTGGTGCTCAGTTTGTTTGTTATTTCCGCTAGAGGGGGTATCTTCTCCTTTGGCATTTACCTATGGAGCAACAACTAATGCGAGCTTGCGTAAGTAAGCTGGGTTAGTTGGGCGTAAGGCCCAATGCGTAACTGTTAGACTAACTGTTTCGCAACGGCCCGTGTCCTCAGGGCCGTCATTTATTGCGCGCATTAAGCTGGTTAGCTTATCTTGTTTTTGTTGTTCAGCGCGCGCCCGCCCGCCCGCCCGTTTCTGGCGCAGCCTCGCGTTAGTTCAGTTGCGGTGTCTCTTTCTCCGTTCGTTAGGCCCGTCTTCTTCGGGCCTCTCAGTCCATTTCTCTCTTTCATTCTTTGTAACAGAAAATGGCATTTACCTATGGAGCAACAACTAATTAGGAAACAGCAAGCCGCGCGGCGCCGTATACGGTAGTACGTACTGAACCTAATTTAGTTGCTATACTCGCCGCAAACCTACCTGTGTCCTACCTATGTCAAGCGAACTTACACAGGAGCTCGTAAGACCATCGAACCCCATCGTGATGACGTCAACAGTCGTCTGCAAGGCAGAAGTCCCTTCGGATTTGGGCTTGACGACCCGGACTGCTTTAATAGGGATTTCAGCCTCGCGGCTACGAGTTTACTCTCCGTCCTTTTTATACTGTAATCTACAGAAGGAAAGCTTTAAGCTCTCATTAGACGTTGAATAAAGCTTTATAGCTTTATGTTGCCAGGAAAAAGGTAGGGGAAAGAGACTGACGTAACTGCTGGATAGACCCTCTACGCAAACTATGCGAGACTTCTGCCGCCGCATTGTTTCCACGGCCGCAAAAGCATTTGGCACCTTATCTGAGTTCCGTTATAAGCCCTTGTGAGAGCAAAGTCGTGTGCAGTTGGCGTTTGGGTGTAAAATAAAGCTTTACGTGCACAGCATAAATTCTTGCACAAATCCAGCTTAAAGCTGCAGCACCTGGCAGTCACCGGAGCCAGATACGCGCTTGCCGTCGCACATAAGGCTGCCGGAGTGCGCGAGTAAACGTGTACGGCGGGAACGTCTAGAGCGTAGGAAGCGAGTATGCTTTGCAGGTTTAAGGATTCGATACAGAACTGAAGAACGAGCCGCTTAAGTTCAATGGGGTATTTCGTGCACGCGCAAATCCGAACGGACTTCTGTCTTCGAGCTCGAATGCATGCATCCAGATGCATAATGGATGAGGAGGGGTCCTAGACGGCTGGACCCGCCGCCTTGGACTTACAGTTCGTATGGCGAAGTATAGTGTGGTAGTGGTGGATGGTGCTATAAGATGATAAATCGTAGAACTGACAATGTGATAAAAGCGGCCCAGAAGCCTCCCACTCTGTAACATTACATAGATGCATAAGTATCGTAGTATCTTACATGCACGTACACATCAGCGTTATGGACTCGCTTGCATACAGTCAATTATACCTCATTAGAAACATTCTAACAGGATTAGGGAAGCTGTAATGCTTTACGGGATTTGTGCAGCCGGATGGCGGTTGGTGGCAGCTTACGAGCGACCGTTCACTATGAGCACCCATGCGTCCGTCGGCCGCGTTAAATCGACCAGCCAGCAGTGAGAATGTACTTCTGTGACTGAATAAGAAAACGAGAGGCTTGAATTGGAGTGTTATTAATTATATATGTATTTTGAAGAAGAAAAAATGCACCAATAGAACGCAGTTAAGTAGGACCGACGCAGGCTCTGAATGAGACACCTCTAGTGCTGCAGCACAAGCACCTGTTTGTTACATCGAAACACCGTCATGACTGTAATGTTACGGTGCACGTCTGCTCTGGTTATCGCTTTGCTGACGACAGCGGCGCTCAATTCACCTCTGCTGTGCGACGCTGAAGATGTATCAGCCGTTGCGGAGCTACGCAATGCCAGGAACGCGCCTCCACGCCGAGTGGTCAGGAAGCTGCGTCCGCCACCTACAGCTCCTGCGAGTCCGCCGCCGCAGGACGCGCGCGCCATAGTTGGTGAGCACCGATCTTACTAGACTTGTCAGCAAATTTTTGATGTCATACGGGCGACACCCCAGTGTAATTGGTAGGGACCGGTAATCCTCCACTTTCGGGTCCGTTAGAATTCCAACGAAATAAATATACAGAACTGAAAGCGTAATGGAATCTCCGTTGAGGGCGTTTGTGCTAGTTACGCTTGCTTTTGAAAGGTTACTTCGCGGGTAATACTGTGGCAGCGCACAGCTACGACAGTAGTGGCTATTCGCCACCTCAGTGATAAATGGAATTATGCGCACAACACGCACCGTCACTCGACTCTGTTGCTCCCCAGTAATCGGTGGATTGCCATCCTTCCCATTTGCGTGCACCGCTGCAGGGGAACTTGATGTGCTTATCTCGGACAAATCTTCCCCTCAATTTTTTGTCCGACAACGTGAGGGATTCGTCTTTCCTGTTCTCCTAAACGAGACCGACGCACTGCCGTACACGGGCTACATCGTCCGGCTCTATGCCGCTGGCAATACCAGTGATGGTACGGCACCTCCCCAGATGGCGTCGGGAGGCGCCAAAGATTTTATGCCAGGGGACCTCACACCTGCTAACAGCGGTGCTCTAGCATTGGACACGAAACCCATAGCCGTACGTGACATTGAATTCTTGGGCCCTGCAAACCCGGGTGCTGGTAAATCCGCTCCTGGTGGTGAACGCCGGAATATTACCAGCATTGTATTTTTGGTCAGCTTCTGCGGCTGGAAAGCACCTTTTGATTTAGCAACGTTCCAATCCATGTGGCTTAACGGCCCTGGCACACGAGAAAATGCCAGGACGATGCAGAACTACTGGAGTGTTTGCTCCCAGGGCAAGGCTGTCATGGATAAGGACACACAGACCATCTTCGAGGTGCCGGTAAGCGATGCCGGTCGTTCCGACTAACGATAGGGTCATGACGGATGTAAGAAAATCACCAATCACGTGGTTTTTTAACTGAGTGCCTACAAATTGGCTTCAACACGATGCTCTTCCTCAGCTGCGGCACTCAAATAGAAATCAAGCTAATTATACTTTAAAACTCTTAAAAGAAGTTAAAACTGTAGATGCATCAATGCGTCGATTATGTTCTTCAGAGCAACTTGTGGGCCTAGATCTTGAATCTGAGGATCTCCTCAGATTCATGCAACCACCGCTGCATACGGTCGCATCAGGTTGCTCGCTGCTGCAAAGGTTTACCCAAAGGACCCGGAATTAACGCCATGGAGACGGTGTGCGTTTTGTTTGCATGCGGCTGTTATGTTGCTCTTACTGCCCATTTCCTCGCTGCTCACACCCCAACTGGTTGAACCTGCGACTGATGCTGTCCACCGTGCTGCCACGCGCGCTGGTTCTAAAAACATTAAATCCATTGTGTTTCCAGATCTGGTCGTCTCATTGTCATGCCCTGCACCCCACAGTTGCCCTGCAGTGGCACCATCAATAACAAGTACTACAGTTTTTCAGCCGCCAGATTCGACTATGCAATGGTGGGTCATGTCCATAGATCATGCAGTGCGAAGCTTCTTAAGATCTTACTGCCGATTCACACATGCGCAAAAACCTAGGACTACATACATGGCCAGCAGCAGTTAGCTTATCATCTATTTGAGGACAAAGATTTACTGCAGTAAAGGACCAGCTGGTCCTTTGTAGGGGGTGGGTCTGCAGCAGGGTGGGTCTTTTCCTGTGAAGTCCTAGATAGGGACGATAATCGAGACGATCACTTCATGGTTTGGGCGGCATAAACGTGGACTGCATGCTCACATATGTGATAAAATGCATTTTATCAAAAAATTGATTGGCGTTTTTTATCCACGGTCGTATACGTATAACCGTACGTATACGAACGGTTGAAACCGGTCTAACGTTTCTCATTCACATTACTGACATGCTCGGCGATAAACTCGCTTAAATATTTATAGATCAGACTGCCGTAAAATGAGGACTCTGGTCCATGAATGCTGGCCAGGTATACGGAAGCCGAAATACGTCAAAAGTACGAAGCCGAAATGGTGTACATAAACATCACAACTCCTTTATCAATTCATAAAAATATATATATCGCTCTAAAATAAAATACACGTTAAATCGTGAGTTAAAAATATGGTAATAATGTGAAGCAAGTTTGAGGGATGTCATGCGAACATGGCCATGGAACGGTTGGATCTTTCCGCCGTAAAATGAAGGCATGTGCATGTATCCGTGAGAACATAAAAATGCATCCGTAAGCAAGCCACCGTCTTACGGATTGAAGGGGCCTGATTTTACGGATTGAAGGGGCCCCGTTGTCCCCGATGGGTGCAGGGCCCACCGATCGCTCATGGATGGAAACCCGCGCAGTTGCATAATAATACTTGAGACAAATGCATCCGAGAGCGTACTAGATCTAGAGCGTGCAGGAAATGAGATGATATGGTCGGCATGGTAGGTGCGATGTATGTACAGCGCAGCTGTCCATGCTATGCACTTGTCCATCCCATAGAACCTTCCTGAATGGCATCCCCGTACTTGCTTGTGTTGCAGACGCTCTATTCAATAATGAACGCGGCTGAGGACTATGTACAGGCTACTCTTGGGTTGAACGTGACAGGCATTCAGCAACGCGTCGCAGTACTGCCTGCTGAAATAGACCGCGACAGTAACATTAAAGGTAAGTGCCGAAACCCTGTTGTCTGGAGGCTAGGGGCTTAGGGTTTTAGGGAGGACCAACGACCTCCCGTTACAGTCTCGCTCTCTGGCCAGTTAGCTCTTGAGCTGCCTAGATGACTCATGTTGGGCCCTGGTATGCTGCCTTCCTGCTGCTGGCAACGCAATCGAAAATTCTTTGTCAGCACTTTAGCAGGAGTGCTCAACATTACTCTGGAAAGCACCAAAAGTTTCCAGTTATTAGTTGATCAAGATGACGTTTAAGCAGGAAAGATGGACGTTTCCTGTCTTCGTGGAATTGTCTTCGTGGACTTGCACATGCGTGCAAGTCCAAGCTTGCACATGCGTGCAAGTCCAAGCAATGAATGAAACTTCTAGGGTAAATATGTACGTAAGGCAGGCACCTTGCTATGTATACGTAGTGTTTATGGGCCCATGAATTACAAAGAGCGAGTAAGGGCGTTTGTGTACGCATGTACATGCATACACAAGTAAAAACCTTCTCTAGCCGCCCTTCTCCATATGTGGCAATGCCCGCGAAATGTCGGTCGTACTAGATTGTCGTGTACATGCAGGTGCTGGCAAGCACTTACTTTCATTACCCATAAGCAGTCAATATGCAGCGGTGCCGAAGTGTGTAAGGGTGCATACAACTACTGAACATGTGTGCTGTCGTTGGCTGGTTGAACAAAGGTACCGCTGAAGCCATCCCAGCCATACATTACAACTGAAACCATTCCATAGCGCCGAGAACGTTTCACGGCAAGGAAGCGGAGTCGTGCCGCTGTGAAGTATGTAGGCAGGATGAACAGGCCATGGTGTGGTGGAAGGGACTACGCTGTCCCCTCAAGGTCGTCACAGGTTTCCATGCACTGCTGGTGGCACCTCCTTCCAGGTGTTCGTTCTTGTGTCACGCTACTCCGGAATGTACGCATGTCTGCATGCCGGTTTACGTAACACGCATTTAAACATCAATCAATTGGTTATGGTCATGATCATATTCCGTCTGTAATTTTTCATCGTCTGTAGATTGCGTCCTATTACGTTAGACAGGGACCCTCCCAATCTAAAATAATAATACTACGACACGATCTGTAGATCAACGTCTGTTTATTCTTTTGAATGTAGCTATAGGCAGGAAAACGTTAACAGGCGTTCATTACAAATTTTCATTTGTTGTGTCTTCTTAATGCAGATGTATTCTTCCTAGCAGGCCAAGCCTTCCATTGTTGCATGTTGCAGAGGGCGGGTGTTTGTTGTACAGCAGTGTACGGCAGTGTTGTGCAAGGCATTTAAGCTCATGCCAGGCTTGCACGGAGCTGTGCTGACGGCACCACCGCTGACTGTATATGCAACGAATCTTAAAGCTCATTATGTCCTAATACCTAATGCTCTCGCTCACCTGCTGATGAGCTTTGTGTCTCGCACGGATTGTCGTGCAGGCATGGCATTAAACCCAGGCTGCTTGGGAACTATTTGTTACACTTTCATAAACGGGCGCTACGCTGATGATCTCACGGTCTATTTTCACGAGATGGGACACAACCTCGGTCTTGACCATTCTGGTCGTACGGGCCTGACAGGTGTTGCAGGTGCTTATGGCGACGACACATGCGCAATGGGAAGGTAAATTATCAGTTCGTTCGATGCTGTTCTTCCTTATAAGTTGTTGCGTGTGCATGTTGTTTTGAAGTTCGTTATTGGATTGGCAAATCTCCTGGTGCATTCAGTGGCAAGACCTGCTACAACGCCCCCAACATGTGGCGCTTGGGCTGGATGCCACCCCTACGAGGAGGCGACCTAAACGGCAGCACCCTGGACATCGGCAGGCCGATGACTTTTTCGCTCCCTGGCTCCAAGTCTTACATCCGCATTGAGCCAACTTGGGCTCTCCGAGGTGACGAGGTGTACAATGAGCGGTACAGTCCTATACCTGTTTTCTTCATTTCATATCGCTACCTGGAAGCTCCTTTCAACAACTTATCGCCTCCAAGCAGCCGTGTCCTGGTGCACACGTTTAGTGGAACACAGGTAATACATTTCCTTTCAAAGCAAGGCAGGGGTACAGGGCGGCGGCAGAGTCATGCTTAGAAGTAAACATGCTAACTGCACTTGTGTGAATTTCTGCTTGATGAAGATAAGAAGATGAGATGACTTTGTATGTGGAGCATTACCTATATAATTGAAAGTACAGACCATCCTGTACGAAGCATGGCCATGTACCATGGCACACCACGGAACCATCTGTCGCAGCCACCTAAACGTTTAGCTTGCTACGACGAAACTAATTCAGACATAATTTAAATTTCTGTACCTTAAAAACCAAAGGACTTCTAGTTGCATGGCAGGGGTTGTAGTAGCCGGTACACTGTACGGCACACATGACAGCTACAAATACGCGCTAAGCGCGTCTACCAGCATCTCGAGAGGCCTTTTCAGCGGCCAGATACTACAGGGGTGCGCATGATGGGACGTTGGCTGGCAATCCACTGCCCGAGGATAGGCGAAGCTAAGGGTTGTGTACACACATGTGGCCGGTCGGGCCTGAGACGGTCGGGCCCTTCAGTCAGGGTGGGTTGGCAGTGTTTGTCATAGTTGGGGCGGGTTAAGTAGCTTGGGATGTAGTAGTGTAGTAGCTGTAGATAGTACGGCAATATTGCCTATAAATAAGGCGCTGCACCAGCATCTTTAGAGGCCTCTTCAGCGGCCAGGTAATACAATGGGTATCGGAGACCTCCATCGTACATGTCTGCCAGACATGTACGATGTGTCCCTGAGTGTCCCACAGTGTGTCCCTGAGGTTGTCAATTCGACCCCGGTAGTCGACTTCGTAGATATCTTGGCGGACGACCAGGTCAAGGATCCTCTGCACGAATGTCGTGACAAGAAGTTGAAGTTGTGATTTACTGGGGAAAAACTCTGTGCCTGGAAAACCTTAACACAACAAGGCGCATATGAGCCGGCACATGCCGTGCTGTGGAGTGAGCACTCACTGCCTGAGGCTAGGAGGCGCCAAGCACAGGCCGGTGTGGCCGTAGACGGATCCATTCAGAGGGGAGGAATCTAGTAGCTCGGCACAGTACGGCACACATATCATCTATAAATACGCGATAAGCCGCTCCAACAGCATCTCAAGAGGTCTTGTCAGCGGCTAGCTACTGCATGTAGCTTATTAAAGTAATTGTTGGTAGTATGGTACACACCATTGAATTCAAATATGCGCAATAATGCATAGAGAGAGAAGCCTTTTTAATCAGCGGCCTGCTGCTGCAACGGCCGTGGCCAGTGTTTACCGTGGGACGAAGAAACCTGGGCCCACACATTTACCTTGACCCGATAAACACACGCCTCTATGATTGGGACTTCTCGGAATACTGCTTGATCGATTGACTGACTGATCTTTGAAAGCCTTTATTTGTATATATGCTTGGTTGATGCTGCTAGCATGTAGTGACATTTTAGCATGTACGTACATGCTGTATACAGTTAATAACCACCACGCCTCACTGCTGGTCAGATTCATTACAAGATTGAACTCACATTCACACTGTCGTGTGATTTTGCCTGCATCGGACGGTGCTGACCCTATAACATGTCATTAAATTCAGTGCACTACAATATGTTGCGCGGTTCTAAATTACTAGATCATACTACTGTTAGGGTGCGTTGGTTTGACCTCCGGCCAGATGTCAGGTGACACAGCTGGACGTCCGCACAGCTGGTGGATACCTGTGATAACAAAAACTGGTAGTGTAGGGCAACTCCCAACATGGCCACCCCCTTATTTAAATACACGATATGGTTGAGGTCCCCAGAACAAACCCTCCTTTTCCGGTGCTATGGGCCATCTTCTTCCGTTTCCATGTATGCTCCACTCCCCAGAGTCCTCGTTCCTACAAACCTTCAACAGTCGAAGCAACACTGTTTGAGGGAGGAGTGTACCGTGCTGCATATGGGTTGGTTATAAGAGTTCCCAACCTTTCCGAGGCAGCCAACGCTACCGTTACTATCTGCCGTTCCAGTGGACCATCAGAGGCCCAGGGTGGCGACTCATGTGGCGACGGGCGGGACAACGACTGTGATGGTCTGGTGGTACGTGGGCGTTGCCAGCAGTGCTGGTACTGTTGAGTGGGTCTGCTGGGCTGTCTAGGAAGCCAGTCCACATTTCCTTGTGCGCCATCCGTGAACGCCCCATGGATGAGAAAATGCCAATCGATGCACTTTTCCAGACAACGAACTACCCAAAAACATGTGCATTGTGAATTGTGAATATGTCCTTGATAAAGGGCACCGACGTGGACTTTGGCACACTCAGTTTCCACCCATAGTGCTTCATTCCTTCAAGCGCACTTTAACGGGCAGCTGGGGATTGAGTGGGTCAGTATACGGGCCTTTATCGTCGCAGGGATGCACTTAAAGGGAGGCGGAAGGAGAAAATGGGAAACATACAGCAGCAGCAAATCATTTTGTATAAATATACATCAGGATTAATAAAAGTAAACTTTTTTCCACATTGTAACATCAGGCGAAAAACGTACTCGGGGGAGATGCCATTTGGATCGGATCTTTCGTTGAACCCATCCCATTATGATTGTATGGTTCCCCAGGATGAGGCTGACCCGGACTGCGTCCCATCGCCACCACCTTCACCTCCCCCAAAGCAACAGCAGAAGTCGCCTCCATCCCCACGACCTTCACCTCCCCCAAAGCAACAGCAGAAGTCGCCTCCATCGCCACCACCTTCACCTTCCCCCATGCAACGGATGTCACCACCATCCCCACGATCTTCACCTCCTCAGCAGTCACAGCAGAAGTCGCCTCTATCGCCGCGACCATCACCTCTCCGGCGCCCACCGTCACCCTCCCCACCGAGATCGCCAAGGGCCCCGCAGCATCCACAGTCACCAGGTTCGCCAAGACCGCCATCATTTCCGTCGCCACCACGGAAGATAACCGTCCGCCCTCCACCAAAGAAGCTTTAGTGAAATGGCACGCTCTACTATCACCATCGTGTGCTGTGTCGAGTGTGCTAGTACTAAGCACACGAGTGCCAGTTCATCAACAGCTTCATACTGCCTACGGCATATTATGTAGTAACTTCTTAATGTTCCGGCTAGCCATTTCCGTTTGTGGTCATGCATAAGACTATCATTTCAAAGCAGGCATATATAGCCACGTAACTGCGCTTTGAGATCCGCGTATAAACGTACAACAGGGCAGCAGATTGTACTCAACTAACCAGCATATCCAGCAGTGTGCACGTCTTGGATGCCGGCTGCTGGCGGAGCAGGGCAATCCCAACAACTGACACGTACTGAGGAACGGCATTGGGGGCCGGCTGCGGCTGCTGTACATGTACATGTACATACAGGCGCATATACATGTACATGTACATACAGGCAGGCGGCTGGCAGAAGTGAAGGCCTGACTTCTGCTCCCAGTCGATCCAGTCGACCCGGGTTCAAATCCGCCTGCCAGCTCCTCGGGTGTTTGAGGAGTGATGAAATGGGAGGTGGCCCCCCATCATATGGACGGTGTAGGACGTGATAATATCAACTTGCGAGCTGACCAGGAACTAAGTTGATGCGCCGTTGATCCGCTAGATTTGGTTGGATGCTGGTGGTGAGTTGCCGAACCCAACGAATACATTCTGAAGTCGGATGGGGTGACGGATTAGGGTGCCCCTCTAGCAGGGGAGAGCAGGGACTGCCCCGGGAAAGGGGGCCGCTGGCGAAGTTAACCACCCTGTAACAACATACATACAGTTCACAAGGAATGGATGGGTGTTTGCAGCCTAAGCGAGGTTTTGGGGAGTCGTAGCTGACGATGTGTAGTGCGTGGCTGGCAGCCGAAAAGGCCTCTTGAGATGCTGCAGCTGGGAATGCTCTTTATTTAGCATTTACATCTATTGATGGTACATATGCATATGTGCGGTATTGTATAATTTGCTACTAAGCAAAGCTTTTTTGACCAAGCCCTTTCATTCTTCAATTGACGACGTCTGCGCATACCTTTTTTAGGGATACCATTTGGGGATGATTCATATCTTTCCGCGTCGGCATGCAGCCGCGATCATTCGTGCTTGAACTGCTGCGTCGCGCATTTCGAGTGACATGGAACTTCAGCTCGTTTCTGAGTCGACGCTCAGCCTCCCCGTAACGGAGGTATGAGAGGAACTAGGAGTACGATTATGAATGCTGACTTGTAGGTGGTGACGCCTCGAGCGTAGATCAGATGGATGGCTGGAGGCTGCGTGCATGGGTGCGTGTCAAAGAATGCAGGTTCGTTTGCAGGGTGCACTGTTGGGATGCTGCTGCTCCTTCGGGTTACAATCCGCCCGTACCTGCTGGGGGTGTGTTTGCTCAGCAGCAACATGGTTGCTTTAACTTGCAATTGCCCTCTTGTAGCCGTTCTGGCTGCTGTGGGCTGGTGATGTATCACGACTGCAGAAAAGTACCGATCGGCGGACGCAGATCCTGTGGTATACCCAGAATACTACAGCTGGGTGGTAGTGCTGCTTAAGTCAGTTTATTTCAGCCAACATAAATATGATACAACTTAAAAAGTGTTCATATCCGTACACGTAAGATTTGAGCCACCGCCATATACATCAAGCAACAATAATGCAGGAAGGGTAACACATGTGTACACCTACCGCTTGGTTTCCGCGCACGCGTCAGCATTGCCTAGTAGCATACAACATCATAGACAATAATGTGTGCCGTCGGTATGTGTAACAATGTAGCTGTACAAAATACGGCACACGTATCGTCGATAAAAACACGCTCCGCCTGCATGTAAAGAGGCATTTATCAGCGGCCAGCAGCTATTAATGCACAAAAACTGCCCATCCAAAAATTCTTACACACGCTTTACTGGCACACTCCGTCCTTTCATATTTTTTTAATAAGGTTGCGAGTTAATTTACTGATGTCCGGTGCCAAAAATATATTCACTACATTACTCCACGCATTTAAATTTATTGCACTTTCTGGCTTGTGCACTTTATCCCCACACACTTAATCCCCATTGCTGTGAAGTAACGCGCATAGCTGTCTACCAGGTATGTGCCTAGCCACGAATTGCAACATCCCAATTTTTGAAGCTATGCAGCGGGCTGCTCCCAGCAGCATGTTGGCTCAGTCGTTGAAGTTCCGTCATCGTACCTCAAGGAGCAGCGGGTAGCTGCAGGAGGGATTGTAAATTTTGGGCTAACATTGCTGCGTTCTCGACTGACCAACTGAGCGTCGCACAGGGCCTCACAAACGGATGTACCTAATAACCATTCTAAGTATACCATGTCCGTAAACTTTATGTCGTCTTTACTAGTAGATGCGCCCTCAAGTATTAGGCAGGGACTCGTCCCAACCTACTGCATGAGGGCACATACAATCGATATGCGATAAATAATTTACAGACGCAGCTAGCAGTCCTCCTTAAACATCTTGGGGCCCTGCAGCAGGAGGCAACACTTGCTCGTCCCAACGGTTTGCCAGCTAGCGGTCCTTCTGAAACCATCATGCAACGCAACCTGGCTCCAGTATAGACTGCCTGACCAAAAGCATACAGACAGCAGCAATGTAACCCGGCTCGCTTCCGTAATCCGTTTGTATGTGCTGTCTAGGCTTCCATCATCGTTTGACAAAAAATATGACAACTCCGCCACCATCCAGCGCAGGCGGTGGAGGTGGTGGCGGCCAGCAGCGCTGCTAGCAGCCTGTTAGCAGCGAGCCCGAACGACCCGGCATCATAAATAACATATGGTGGAATACTGGCAGGAGGTTGTACTGCCGGTTGGACACGGGGTTGGGCTGGCTTGGGGTTGAACGGCAGCATTGTGCCCACCAGCACATGAGGATGAAGACTATGGAGATGAGGGATTGCGTAACCTGTTGCCACCTGTTTACTCTAGTAACTTCCTTTTTTCAAGTGCCCTCAAAGTAGGGCATTCTGTTGGGGAATTCTGGTAGCGGCAGAGGTGCACCTTGAGGATATCCTTGCCGACCCAGGATCCACCGTACACAATAAGCTTGTAGATGGCAAAGTCCGTCCGATTTTGAGGTGTAATGGCGTTAAAAAACGTGATCTTACGGTCACTGTAGATGTAAGTATCCGGATCATTGTCCTGCACAGGTAAGTACGTAGGGGGCATGGGGAGGTGAAAGGCTGAGGTGAAGCCAGCAGTGGGGGCCTTGCTTCCAGAGGTGTTATGCTTGGATAAAGGGGATGCTGAAAATGTAAACTTTACATTTTTGAACAAGGTAGGCATAAACCAACTCACCATGGTTGCGTTGACTTCGTGGAGATTCAATTTGTTAGAGTAGAGAGATATCAGTGAGCCATCACCACTCTTGTTAACCCGCACAGCGATGTACAAGTTCTTCGCTTGGGAGCTGTTTTTGTACGATGGCAACCAGTCGGGGACGACCCGGAGGTAGTTACCTTCCGGGGATAGGTAGGTGGCGGGTAGACTAAAAGTAAGGCCGGTGCCCGGTCGCAATGTTTTTGAGTCAATACGATCACCGCCTGGTGCGGGTGTGGCCCAGCCCAGGTAGGCTAGCTCGGCCGCGTTGGGGCAGGCATCCCCACGGCCCATAGAGGTGGAATAATCCTCATACTCATAGCCACCCTGCCAAGAGTGCCAGAGACCTGGGGGCCCATGTGTTGGCGCGTCCTCAAACACATTGTGTCAGTGCTGAATGGCAAGATAGAGAGGATCAATGCAGCACTTAAGTGAAAAAGCTTTTTCACCATTAAATGAATGTGATGTAAGCCGGAGAACACATATATACGGGAGGGTGCATACCGGGATGCTGTAAGATTACGCAGCCGAAAGCACTGGCATTATCACGGTTGCGGGTAGGCGCCCCATCATGGGGCAATGAGCAGTTGAGGCGGGATTACAATTGAGATCTTGCTGGAAACAAGCCCTGAATCGAAGGCTATCATGTAGGTCTGTTTTCATGTCCTTGATACACCCCTATCGGCCGATTTTTATCAGTCAAGCTAACGCCATGGCAGTGATAGCTAAGTAGAGGGTAATGGCCCATCCCCCCGGGCCCGGGGGGAACTCCCTATTATTAGGGGTTACCCGGCCCCAGCTAGCTAGGTAGTTAGGTTCTCTACCATGAAGGCTGGGTAGCTTATAATCCCGGCTAGGCCCAACGCAAGATAGTCCCTCTTGCTAATTTGCAGCATTATTGTGCTCCGTTTTCTTGTCCTTGTATTTGTTTGCGACAGGTCAGCAGTTAACGTTCTGCTTTCACATGTACAGGAAGGGTTCGTTGTGCCTGCTTGTCACCGCATTGCACACGCTCTGTTGTAGCATGACCCTCTGCGCTGTCATCTATCTTAGGATAGTAAAATATGTTTTGAAACTCTATCTGGTTGCGACCTTAGGTGCCCACGTTGTCTGTAGTCAGTTCTAGCCGCTCACCACTATTTGCCTTTCACCGGTACCACTACTGCCAGTGAGCCGCTTTTCCTACCGGCTCTGCCATCTCTCTCCTAACATGCATATACCGTAGTGCTACTTATAGTTCGTGATCGCTTTGTTCGGGGAGGGGTCAAAAAACTTTCTGAAATTTGTACGTGCTCTTTGAATTTCGGGGAAGGCCGGACCAGATTTTGCGGGCATGATACAAATTTCGGGGCCCCTTCCTTCGGGGCTTTTCAAACTGCAGCTTCCAGTCAGTCTCCCTCCACCGGGAACCCATAGGCTCATGGTCTCTCACCATTTTCGCACTTTGGAAACGCCCTAGCAAATTCTGGGACCGATCGTACAGTTTAGTACCAGTGGCAACGACCTAATAACCAACCGGCCGGGCCAATACAGTGTTTGGGTGGTTGCTACTGAAACGTGTCTTAATGTAGCATTGACCGCATTGCGCTCGCGCCTAGCAACCTCCTCGTGCTGCATTCGCTCACGCTGGGCCTCGACAACAGCATCATCAAGCCTAACTGGTGCAAATCCAGCTCGGTCGCTCACCGGAGCGTTTGGTGCTAGCGGTTTCATCCCGCATTGAAGCAGGGTTGCCTGTCTTGCACGTTTGCCAGCGTTGTTCATGTCCTACGTTTATGACTATATTTTATGTATTTAAGAGCTGATTTCCGCCTTAAAATCCTAGTTTTTGCGAAGTTTGATCGACCGGCTTCGGAGGGTACGATATTTCGGGGCTGCGGTCCCTTGGGATACCTTAGAATATGTACGTGCTACATATTCGTGGTGCCTCCCGAATTATTGTAGTACGAACTATAAGTAGCACTACGGTACCTGAACTGTCCATATATGTCTACATTTTGAATGGCAACTCCTGAAACGTTGCATGACAATGGACCGCGCTTCGATAGATATTTATCCAGGTTAGGCACTACTGGTAAATCACGGATCATTACCCCGGAAGATCTCGGGATCTAGACCTCTCGGGATCCAAAGTCTTTCCGATGGTGGAAGGTGAAGTGCACCTGGTCGATGGACGGTGGTGACCTGGGATAAAGTTGACTCGCGAGCCGACCAGGGATGGAATTGGAACCGCCGTCGATCCGGCAGATTCCATTGGATGCTGGTGGTGGATGTGGAACCTAACCGATCCACTGAATTGTTGACTTAGGTGACTAAATGAGGGTGCCCCGAAATACTGGGGAAGACAGGGTTTTGCCGGGTAGCGGCCACGATTGAAGATATGTCCCCCTGTCCCACACATCATATTTCCCTTATCAAGGTGGCTCAGATCAATAAAACATATGCACACACCGGCACACACAGACATACACTTCCCGTTGGGGTTGGGCAGCAGCCCTGTATAGGCTCTGTATAGGCTCACCGTAGTTGTGTAGGGCCTCCTGCATGATTGTCGCCCAGCGGTTCACGCCATAGGTAGAGCTCTGCAGCCAGATCTGCTCTCCGGGCAGGTGCGCCAGCCCAGCCCATGGACACCGGTTCGACATGCCACCGGGAATGATGTACACGTAATGAGTAAAGCCTGCAAACCCCGTTTCCCCAAGCACTTTCTTTGACACGATGTCTCCATCCTCTGCAATTCGCCAGTAGGCGCACTTCTTAACGGCATCATCCGTGCAGTTGCTCCTCACGGTGATCACCTTAAAGGCTGTGGTGTTCAGATTGAATTTGCCATGCGAACACTGTATGTACTTTTGGGCAACGCCTCCGCTGCCATCACGTTTATGGCCCAGGAAGATTGTTCGAACGGTGGTCTCGTTCATTGTGGCTGGCAACTTGCAGGCGGAATAGTCTAGAAGGATCACCAGCAGACGCTGGTGAATCGTCTTGGTGTCCGGTAGGAGCAGGGGTTTCACAGATAATATGGTGGTCCTGGAGCCCAGAACGGGATTGCAGATGCCAAGGATGTCGATGTAACATGACTGCAACATGAGATGTATGGCGAACAATGGACCGAACGGGAGGAAAGAGGTAAGGGCTGAATTTGCGGTGTGTGCATCTCCGATCAGCAGCAGCTGCAGCAACAGCAGATGCAATTCCTAATAATGATATATGTTGCGGCAACGGATATTGAGTTCCACTTTGTAAACGGTAATAGCGTGCGATAAGCTCCATTTCAGTCATTGTAATATTTCAACCGCGGCATGTCTATGCAACCCACATCTACGTAAAATTAATAAAAACTAGATACTTACAATAGTCACCAGTGCTCCTGGCACCACAGCCTGTCCAAGGTTATTCACCCTGGGGGGCTCATAGCCGCGTGCAATTGGTGTTATGGAGCCATCACTCTTGCGGATCGCCCACTGAGGCAGCTCGGTGTGGGATTGTATGGACATGAGCGCGCCCGACACATCCACGGCTGTGGGCTTATTAGTAACGTTGACAGTAACACGGGGTGGGGGCGGTGACCTCACACTTATGTGGGGAGGAGGGTTTAACGGTAACTGTTTCCTCTCCAGAACCTCTAAAGAGGGGCATTCTGTCAACGAGGACTGGTACCGACAGACATGTATCCTGAGGATGTCCGTGCTGACCCAGGATCCACCGTACACGACAAGCTTGTATGCAGTGAGGTTTGTCCGACTTTGAGGTGCGGCAGCAGTGACGAAGGACACCTTGCGGTCACTGTAAACATAGGCGTCCGGATCATTGTCCTATGGAGAGAGGGGGCAGATTGCGGGACAAATAGCAGCACCGGGCGGGTTGTGAGGTGAGTGAGGTGCCACAGAAAGGATGCGCACACACATTAATGGTCCCGCAGTTATTTGCGAATGCATGCATCACAAGGGCGGGAGGTTTTTCCTGGGCGCATGGTAGATGAGTATGGTGGGCGTGGTTGACAGCGAATATAAACGGAGGTTACACAACGATGAAGTAAATCATTACTGCAGGGTTTGGATTAATGACTTTACCAGCAGGCTGACCCTGTTTTTCTGGTTTGCGTGCGTGATTGAGGTAAACTGCAACTATGTATGTGTCGGAAGTATGGCAAGTTAGCAGCGTGGCTATCTTCCATGATGGCGAAAGGGAACCTCTGCTATCTCCTCCCCCTGAAGCTGACCAAAATGGCTGTCCGGCGCGATTTTGTCGGTCTAGAAGTTAGGAACAAATGGAAGAACGATCGCTCAGGTCTACCTGTGTATTTCTATGGTGGTGTGGTGTAGCGCCGCCTTCTGCTAGCAGCGCTGCTGACTCGCTCTACTTCAACTCGATTCATCCGCATGTTTATATGATCACATTCCACAACCTTTGAAATTCCAGTTATGTGCAATATTGATACCCAAATAAGCTTCAAATCTTTAATTTAATCCTTTGCTGCACCACAGACATGGGTTAGGATGTGGCAACGCATACCCACGCTGCCGGTGATGAAATAAACTAGATACATATGGCCATTAGTTCCGCAACACCGACACGTTCATAGCATTTTAGAAGCTGTAACCTGATGAGCTGTGACTCCTGCTGCATGTGAACGCATCTTCGATCCGCCTGTGATATGCACACACCAGGCACATACCTTATGCTCGTTATATTCATATACATATTTCACAGTAAACCTGATGTTTGGTACATGCTGACGCACCATGATAGCGTTGACTTCATGGATGTTTAACTTGTTTGCGTAGTATAACGTCATTGAACTGTCACCACCCTTGTTGACCCGTACAGCAATGTAGAGGTTCTTGGCATCAACATTAGTTCTGTACGATGGCAGCCAGTCAGGAACAATTCGGAGGTAGTTTCCGTCTGGGGATAAGTAGGTGGCGGGCAGACTGAAGGTGAGGGCGGTGCCTGCTGGCAATAAGTTGGAGTCAATGCGGTCGCCGCCTGGCGCGGGTGTGGCCCAGTCAAGGTAGGCCAACTCGGGGGCGTTGGGGCAGGCAACTCCGCTGCCCATAGCTGTGGAATAATCCTCATACTCCACGCCATTCTCCCAGGAATGCCACAGACCTGGGTGTGTATGGCATCAAACACATGTAGGGCCGACAGAGGTTACCTCTTTATCGTGCTAGCTGCATGTAGCTGCGGTTCTGTGCTTCCCAACCATGGATGCGGCCAAGTGCCGTGCCCTCCTGAGCTCCGACGGGTTAATTTCTTAGGCCATCACCACGCACAAATTGCTTGGTGGGAGCGTATACGTACATACGCCTAACTATCATGGCTTTTGGAGGGAGAAACTGCTGTAGTAGCACATTAGACGCAATAATATTCGTACTGAGTTTGTAGTTATGGGGTCCGTTTCTTTAGTACTTATGGGCGTCCCCACGACGCCCAGCCTCACCATAGTTGTGCAGGGCCTCCTGCATGACTGTGGACCAGCGGCTCACGCTGTAGGTTGTGCTCTTGAGCCAGATTTGCTGCCCTGGCAAGTAAGCCAGGCCCTTCCAGGCGCACTGACTGTTGGACATGTTCCCTGGGATGATGTATGCATAATGGGTAAAGCTTGAAAACTCCTTTTCCCCTAGCACTGCCTTTGCTCGGGCATCTCCATCCTGAGCGATCCGCCAATCTGCACACTGCTTCACAGCCACATCTGTGCATGGTACTGTGCTTTTGGCGGTAATCACCTTGAAGGCTGTGGTGTTCAGATTGAATTTGCCATACGAACACTGCGTGTACCTTTGGGCAATGCCTCCGCTGCCATCACCTTTACGACCCAGAAAGATCGTTCGAACGGTGGTCTGGTTCATTGTGGCTGGATAGCGGCAGGCGGAATAGTCCATAACGATCACCAGCAGACGCTGTTGAATCGTATCGGTGTCCGGTAGGAGCAGCGGCTTCGCAGATAGCACAATGGTCCTGGATCCCAGAACTGGATTGCATATGCCAACGGCATCGAGGTTGCACGACTGCAACATGGCATGGGGTTAGGATGTAAGAATGTTTCCTTGTGGCTTTTTATGATTTTTATCTATTTTGGGCAGCCTTCTGCTGGCCTTTGGGTCCCCGGCTTGTATGGGCCCGTTACATTTTGGAGGGTAATATTAATGCAACTCATGTTGTAACACATATGCACATAGACACAGACACTCTCTCTCTCCCGGATGGTGATTGATTCGTACTCTTTTTGAGGCAGGTGGGCTCGGTTAGACATTTCTGCATGCGTGTTCTATAGCTATGTCCCAGCAGTCATCCAGTCATGACACGCTCCTGCTGCCTGCCCATGTATGCACCAACTGCTCATGTCATGAAGAATGGACATCTGGAGCATACACGAGGCTAAGGAGGAACAATGAGATATTCGGTCCTTGTATATTGTAGAGTGTAATTGTCGCAGCTTACGATCAGGGAGCTGATCATGAGTTCATGTATTATGTATTGTTAATGTTCGTACACTTTAGCTAGGTCCAGCCGGACTGCTGGTAAGCGTGTGGTGAACCGATGCATCAAAGATAGCAGGGCATCCAGTTAGCCAACCGAATTTAGAGCCATTCCACCCTGATCGAAAGGGAAGCAGGGCCTGGCAGGGCCCCAATATAGGCCGTGCAGCAAATCAAATGCTTGACGAATACGGTGGGTTTTATATAGGAAGGGCGGAAGGGCTCCATCCAGTACTAGTCAGCTGTTAGCTAGAGAGTAATAATAAGTTTCTATCCACAGGCCACATGCAAGGGTAAGCAGCACGTAACTTACAATGACCACCAGCGCCCCTGGAACCACGACTTGACCAAGGTTGTCCGCCTTCGGTGGCTGATAGCCACGTGCTATAGGTAATACGGAGCCGTCGCTTTTGCGGATGACCCATTCAGACATATTTGAGTGAGATTGCTTGAATATGAGTGTGCCCGATACGTCTACGGTGGTAGGCATTGTGTTGTTGGTGGTAGCACGGGGAGGGGGCGGCAACATAACACTGCGCCTGGGGGAAGGCAGGTTAGGCGGTGGTAGCTGCGGCTTCTCCTCGGCTGCTCTCAAAGTAGGACATTCTTTGGCGGAGCTCATGAAGCGGCAGAGATGTACCCTTAAGATGTCCGTATTGATCCAGGATCCCGCATATACAACAAGGTTATAGCTTGTGATGTTCATCCGGGTTTGGGGTGCGGTCGCGGCAAAGAAGGAGATTCTGCGATCCATGTACATGTAGAACAGCGGGTTGCTGTCCTACGGTGGTGGGGGGAGAAGTGAGGTTGGCGGGGGCCCGCAAGCAGTGAGGGGGGCGGGAGTGAGGGTCGGAGGTTTTGGAGGCTGGTAAAGCAATCGTGTAAAAGGATCGCTACAGAAACATCTGTACAACGGCCTCAGTTTTATTTGGGCCCACATTATATATCCGGAGTGTGGAGTAATGAAATATGAGTTCCAAATTTGGCACCATTTCCAAATTTGGAATTTCGAACCTTACGATTTCCAAAAGCAAGATAAGTAAGTTGAAAGCTCTGAATGGTACTCAGTACAATCACATCCTATAGCCTTCACAGCTTACTGTACGTCTGTGAATATCCTATTACCTATCGTGCCCTGGTATAGTAAATAGTGATAGTCCCTATCTAATGTACCATGGGCACGGCGGATCTATAAAAAAAGGCTGGCAGGGCCTTCGGTATGAACGCACCATTTTTGCATTGACTTCGTGTATATTTAATTTGCTTGCGTAGAAAGATGTTAGCGCGCTGTCCGCACCCTTGCTGGCTCGTAGAGCGATGTACAGGTTTTTTGCTTGAGTGCTGGTATTGTACGACGGCAGCCAGTCGGGGATGACTCGAAGGTAGTTTCCTTCCGGAGTTAGGTAAGTGGCAGGCAGATTGAAGGTGAGGGTCATGCCAACTGGCAATGCATTCGAATTGATGCTGCCGCCGCCTGGTGCAGGTGTGGCCCAGCCCATGTAAGCCATTTCGGGGGCATTGAGACAGACATCCCCGCGCCCCATGAAGGTGGAGTAGTCCTCATACTCCTGGCCATTCTGCCACGAGTGCCAGAGACCTGGTGGATAGGGTCAGGCACGTGTGTGTGGCTAAATAGAAAGATTTTTCTTTGTTTTTGATGCAACATGCACACTTACACAAAGCGTGCATGCAATACACACAATGCGGGAACACATCAGGTGTGATTTGAACACGCTTCAGCTACTGGTGATGATTTCCAGTCGCCCCAAGCAGGATATACAACATTATAACCTGTGCATGGTGTGCTTGGTCAAATTGCTCGGAGAGGTGTAGGGGCTGGCCGCTGAGAATGCCTGTAGTAGCCGGAGCACTGTACGGCACCGTGAACAACTACAAATACGCGTTAAGCGCGTCCAACAGCATCTCGAGAGGCCTTTTCAGCGGCCAGCTACTACAGCCTCGTGTATCTGCCGTACTGTTCGACAGCTACTATATTACTCCCTCTAGACGAAGGTATCCGTCTTGGGCCGTTACGGCCACAATAGCAGCCTGTGCCTACCATCTTCTATCCTCGGGCAGAGCAGGGTGCTCAAATCATGTCACGCCATATGCTGGGTTACATCCGCCTAGGCGTTCCTAAGGCTTTCTGGACACAGCGGCTTCTCAGTTAAGCACATCTGCAAATTCGTGCAGAGGATCGTCATGGTTGACCTGGTTGCCTCCTGCGATACCTACTTTATTACAAGTTACAAGTTACGAGATACCTACAGATACCTACTTTATTTGTAGCCTTTCACGGATAAGCTGACGACCTTCAGGTTACAATGTGTACGGATATCTCTATGCTAACTGTAGTACCTGGCCGCGGAAAAAGCCTCTGAAGGTGCAGCAAGCTTAAGCCGCCGTGGTGCACAATCATAGATGATGTGTGTGTCACACTGTACGGCAACTGCTATACGAGGATGTAAAGGCAGGAACGTTCCTTGTCCAAACTGGACAAACCAATCCTACATGGCCTGCATACATTTCCTCCCCGTTCGACAACGAACACCCCATCCTGTTGGGACTGAAGGACATCGTCGCCACGCAAAGAGTCTGTAAGCAGCAGCCTGTCAGAATCTACCCACGAACAGCAGGCGCTGTATACTTATGTTCTCAGCACCTTGATCGCTAATGGTAATCAATTCGAGGAATTGAGTACAAAACAGAACATAAAACATTTTTGTTGTAGCAACTCCCCTTTTTAGCCTCACCGTAGTTGTGTAGAGCTTCCTGCATGATTGTGGCCCAGCGATTCACGCCATAGCTCGAGCTTTGCAGCCAAATTTGTTGCCCCGGGGAGAGTGCCAGGCCGGACCATGGACATCGGCCTATCATGCCCTCTGGAAGGACGTAGGCAAAATGTGTGAAGCTGTAATATTTATCCTTTCCTAGCAACGCTCTCGCTCCTATGTCTCCGTCGTCAGCTATTCGCCAGTACGAACAAGATTTCGACACCGCATCCGTGCAGTTGCTCCTCACGGTGATCACCTTAAAGGCTGTGGTGTTCAGATTGAACTTGCCATGTGAACACTGCGTGTACTTTTGGGCAACGCCTCCGCTGCCGTCGCCATTGTTGCCAAGAAAGATCGTTCGAATGGCGGTCTGGTTCATCGTGGCTGGCAATGCGCATGAAGAATAGTCCATAACGATCACCAGCAGACGCTGTTGAATCGTATCGGTGTCCGGTAGGAGCAGCGGCTTCGCAGATAGCACAATGGTCCTGGAGCCCAGAACTGGATTGCATATGCCAACGGCATCGAGGTTGCACGACTGCAACATGGCATGGGGTGCAAATAGCAAGAAAGTTAGGAGTAAAAGTTGGAGCGGCTAACTTTGATGAGACGAACTAGCTAGATGGATGTTAGGAGGAGGACATACATACTGGACAAGCGGAAGCGGTATTTGGGACTTGATAACGGCAGCATATACAAATGAGGTAAAAGTAACACCATCATGTCATGTCATGTGGAGTTGAGATCACAGTCGATGGATCGAGGTTCGCACGCTGGATCGGTGGCGATTGCTGAACCCTCTGTCTCTGCGGATGTTCGGGTGATTGGATGAGAGGAATCCTAGAAGGCAGGATCAACCGCCTTGGACTTCCAGTTCGTATGGCGTAGTACATTGTGGTAATGGTGGATGGTGCTGTATGGCGTGATAAATCATAGAAATGACAATGTGTTCAAGTGCCCCAGAAGCCTCCCACTCTAAACCTATAACAATTCAATTCAATAAGATGTACGGAATCCTAGCTGGGCATGCACTGCCTTGTAATGCCTTAAAACTCCGGCATTCAATGATAATGTAGTAGCCGGTACACAGTACGGCACACATAACAACTACAAATACGCGCTAAGCGCTAACACCAGTATCTCGAGAGGCCTTTTCAGCGGCCAGCTACTACAGATAAGCAGACAGTCGCGTCTCTGGTTTAGTATTGTTTATAATTACACGCCTTGCCACTGGTTTGGAACTACTGGGTATGCAGTTCCTATCATCATTTGCGTGGCCGCATGGCCACAGCGTTGTTTGGCCATATACATGGCCACATCGTTATTTGCGCTTTGTCACGGGCACATAGCAAAACGCGTCGATGCGAAGAATAAAATCTGCCGAACGCCTAGCTACGGAAATCGTGTATCCATCCAGGCCTGCGTTACGGAACCTGCCTTTGTCTTTCTCATGGGCTTAGGAGACGAGGTACTTGCACCAGGTGCCAGATGCCTTGAACACCCAGGCGCATCTACCTGCCTCGCTATGTGTAGTAGCTGGTACATAGTACGGCACACATAACGTCTACAAATACGCGTCACCAGCATCTCAAGAGGCCCTTTCAGCTACTACACTGTATATGCCCTCCTACAAGCATGATTTGGGAGCGGACATCCATCAAGGTGTAACAGCGATTGAACGGTACGGGTTATACATAAGCAACTCACGATAGTCACCAGTGCTCCCGGCACCACAGCCTGTCCAAAGTTGTCAGTTTGGGGTGGCTGATAGCCGCGTGCAATTGGTGTTATTGAGCCATCACTCTTGCGGATGACCCATTGTGGAACCGCGTGGGAGTTGGCGTACATCAGCTCACCCGACAAGGTCACTCCTGTGGGTGCAGTAACGTTGGTGATAGCACGAGGCCCTGGCGGCCTGGGACCACCTCGGGGAGACGGGCTCGGTGCTGGCATCGGCCGCTTCTCAAGTGCCCTCAAAGTGGGGCATTCGATTGGGGAGGCCTGATAGCGACAGAGGTGCACCCTTAGGACGTCCGTATCGACCCAGGACCCCGCATATATGACGAGGTTGTATGTGGTCAAATTCATCATACTCTTGGGCGGCGTGGCAGAGACGAAGGAAATTTTGCGATCCTGGTAGATATAGGTATCCAAATTATTGTCCTGAGGAGTGGCATGCAAAATGCGGTTAGTGGGACGGGCGATAGAGGGCCGCCGTGGTGACGCAGTGCAAGGGTGGATATGTAGTAGAACCGATAGGTTTGAAGGCAACGTCAGCGCAGGTATTGCTTGCTGCTAAAGTGTGCAGTAACAAAGACGCTCTTGTTTGTACATTTATCCGATACAACTTCGAAGACGATCAGCAAGCCACGGATTCCATCCCAAGCGAGCATGTATATACATATATGCTATAGTGGGACCCGGCCATATGAGGGATCGACAATCCTGCAGGAATAGTACAACAACTTTTCGTGACGCACAGGCAACCAAGATACCAATCACGAGCATGTGGCATCTGCTTCCCTCATGTACGGCACGAACGCACCATTGTCGCGTTGACTTCATGGATGTTTACTTTATTCGCATATAAGGACCCTAGCAAGGTATCCCCGCCTTTTCGAACTCGTACAGCCATGTACAGGTTTCGTGCTGCAGAAGGGTTGCCGTATGTCGGCAGCCAGTCCGGGACAACTCGGAGATAGCTCCCGTTAGGAGACAGGTACGTGGCGGGCATATTGAAGGTCCGAGATGTGCCTACTGGCAACGCTTTGGAGTCGATACGGTCGCCGCCTGGCGCGGGTGTGGCCCAGCCAAGGTATGCCAACTCAGCGGCATTGGGGCAGGCATCTCCACGGCCCATTACCGTGGAAAAGTCTTCCGACTCCCTGCCATCCTGCCACGAGTGCCCTAGACCTGTGAATGTCGGGTCAGGCAATGACTTGTGTTGGCATTGGGCAGACAGGCTAGCATTTAGATGGACAGCTGCAACTTCAGCCGCTTGGGTCGGGTCAGGCCAGCTGTTGCGGTCTGGGCTCGGACCCATGTACTTAGCTTAGGTAGGTACCATTGCTAACGTACCATTGCTAACATGTAATTTTGGCAGGGCGTTGCGCTAGCGCTGCCGTTAACACCATAGGTAATTATAAGCCCCCAGGGTTGCAGAGTGGACGCCTACTGCTTGCCACAGCTGTCCTACAATACTGCGTTCTGGACCTAACCTGTATTGGCTATGATGTCGCAGGCTTCAATCTGGGAACGGCAAACGGTAGTCTGGTTGGGATTGAGCCTTACTATGCGCAGTAACAAATAGCTGCTGAACAATTGCGGGAGGGCTGACCGCGAACGAAAATTCCTTTCATTTTGGTCGGTCACACCTCCATCGCGAACCATGTGCTGCATCGGATCTGAAAGGTCTGTCCTGTCTCACCATAGTTGTGGAGGGCCTCCTGCATGACCGTCGCCCAGCGCTGCACACCGTAGCTCCAGCTCTGCAGCCAGATCTGCTTCCCCGGCAGAGACGCGAGCCCATTCCAGGTGCATACTCGTCCTACTCCCGGAGGGATGATGTACGCGAAATGGGTAAATTCTGCAAACGCTTTGCCTCCTAGCAACAACCGTGCTCCTGTTTCACCATCGGAACCCATCGTCCAGTATGCGCATTTTTTCACGATAGCATCCGTGCAGTTGCTCCTCACGGTGATCACCTTAAAGGCCGTGGTGTTCAAATTGAACTTGCCATGTGAACACTGCGTGTACTTTTCGGCAATGCCTCCGCTGCCGTCGCCTTTGGGCCCAAGGAAAACCATGCGTGCAGCGGTCTGGTTCATTGTGGCTGGAGACCCGCAGATGGAATAGTCTAGGATGATCACTAACAGACGTTGGTGAATTGTCTTGATATCCGGTAGGAGCAGGGTTTTCCCCAGCAGGACTACGGTGTTATCACCCGGAGCTGGATTGCAAATGCCAAGGTCGTCAATGTAGCACGACTGTATGTAACACGTCATGGTGAGCAGCAGCAGGCACGGAGGAGGGTAGGATACGGGAAATGATATAACCATACAAGTCGCTTTGGTCATATCAAGGATTAAGGACTGGAGTAACGCAGCATTAGCGTATGCATTAGCGGCGTGTGATGAAGTGGCAGTGTTGTATGAAAGCGGCAGCGGCATGGAATGAACGCAGATAACGCGACTGCTTATGATAAGCTCCAAAGATTTGAGGTGCATGATCAGTGTACATACAACCAGCTAGTGACCAGGCGACTGGCCGTAAGTCTTGGCTGGGTCACTGCTGTATTTGGCCTCTCATTCTTTTGTGGCAGCTGATGGCAGTAATGGTGATTCCACCATGGTATCCCTTGTTGATGCAAACGCGATGTTGCCATCGCGCATATTATGATTACGGAAGTACATTTGTTGCTTAGAGCACAAACGTACTTCCGTGATCATAATATGATTAACTGTACTTAACCTCACATACATGACTGGAAGACTGGCAAGAAAACGCACTGCACATTATAATGGAAGTGCGAATAGCTGCAACTCACGATAGTCACCAGTGCCCCCGATAGCACGGGTTTTCCCAAGTCATCCGTCTTGGGGGGCGTGTAGCCCAATGCAACAGGTGTCAAGGTGCCGTCATACTGGCGGATGATCCACTGAGCCTCCAAATGGGTGTCTACGAGCATGAGCTCGCCTGACACATCCACTGTCGCGGATGCTGCAACATCAGGGGCATTAGAGAGGCCCTCGGGGGCACCACCTCCTGGAGGAACGTCTTCGGAGCTAGGCGGAGTCCCCATGTCCTGCTGACAAAATCCTGTCAAGACAGCCACAAGGGAGGGCGCGCAGTAATAATGCAGTCAGGTGAATAATAATTTTGCAGGTTGATAACACTTTCTGGTGGGCTGACTCGGGGGCAGGCAGCCGCAGGTGTGCGTGTGAGCAAGCGTGCATGCTTGGCTCTACATATGTAATGTAATGTAATGTAATGTAATGTTACAGAGTGGGAGGCTTCTGGGCCGCTTTATCACATTGTCAGTTCTACGATTTATCACCTTATAGCACCATCCACCACTACCACACTGTCTTCACCATACGAACTGTAAGTCCAAGGCGGCGGATCCAGCCTTCAGGGACCCCTCCTCATCCATTCACCCGAATATCCGAAGAGACGGAGAGTTCGGCAATCGCCACCAATCCAGCGTACGAATCTGATCCATCAACTGTGACCTCAACTCCACATTTCAGCAACTAGCCATATTCTCGTGCTCCCGACTAATTCGGGGGTTTCCCCGGAAATCGATCCCAGGACCTTAACTGCTAATTGCAGTAGTGTCAACCCAGACCAGACCTACATATGTGTTCTGCGGCGGACTGATTGAGTCCGTTGATGGCAAGGTGAATTTTTAACTTAGCACACGAAGTTTTCGTTGGGGCCATAATTTTTGTCTTATTCGAGTATACAGCGTGCCGTTTATGCCCCAATCGAGTTTTTTTTGTTTGTCAAATGATATGGTGATTACGCGTACGTTGCCCGCGATGCGGCAGATAATCCAAGTAAATTTGACTGTTTTCACATTACTGGCTTTCACGCATACGTTGATATTCATGGGATTCCATGTCTTACATTATCTTACCTCTTGAAGTTGCCAGGAATAGCAGGCTTAGCGACAGGACTAAGTGCCGCATGGCCCTGTCGAAGCCCAAAGTAAGCAGCCGGTCGGCAATTGTAGGTGGCGAGTACCTGCAGCACAGGACAAAGCAAGCAAAGGCTCAAATGGCAAACAAATTTGAGCCATGGAATTACTCTTTGAATATTTAAGCGCTGCGAGGCTCCTCATCATGGATGCGTATTTTTACTTCATCAAGTTTTTTATTCACCTTACTAAGTTTTGGGAAGCTTCGCTGTGACAAACGATTTCAAAGACTTCTGCGATGACAATGCATGCTTTTGAATGTGCTTTGTATCTCTGTGATCTGCACACGGAATACTAAGCGCCTGCGCTCGCTCGAATTCCTGTCGAAGAGTTTTAACCCCGTTAATTGGGGGCGGGCTGGTACGACTTCTGTACAGTGCCTCTTGGACACAGCACGTATGACAAGGCTTGCCAGCCTGTCGCCCTTCCAGAGAGTGCCCGACCAAGCTAGGGACATTCCCAATCGCCAAAACGTCGTTCCGTTGGAAGTATTTGCATCCTTCGTAATGAAGTGAGCTTTGCAAATAATGATATTACCTGATTTATTCTTCATCCTGATGCTACAAGTGGAACGGGGTAGATCCAATGGGCTTAGCTTTGACAGCAGGCATTTACTGCTTACCTGCTGCCTTAACTGCCGGAAATAAAAACAGAATCCCGCAGGTCACCGGTGGCGCCCATGCACTGAGTTATTGTTGCTGCTATATATATAGTGTCATCGCTCGTCGGTCAGGGGCGGAGATCTTCCCCGGTGCTGGCCGATGTGCGACCATATGAATTGCCGGCGACAAGCAAGCATCCCCAACATGCCATGCACATACCGTCGCGCCAGGATGCATTAACAAGGAACATAAAGATAATGAAAAGAATTAAACGAAGTTGGGAAATACGGTGGTCGTGCGGAACCTTGAGGCGTTCCTGCGCGCGCGCGCCACCGATTCCCTGCCATGGCATGCATATCCATGGGCAGCGGGGGTCGAAGGCATTTCAGAGCGCACGTCGAGCAAGTGTTTAGAGTAGTGCTGTGGTGCGTGTCAACGTCCGCAAAATGTTTTGTCGTCTATGTAGATTCTTGCCCTGGTATCATGGAATGGACGGTCCAGATCTAATATGTCAGGTAGCTACCTAGCATTCTTAGCGTTCTCAGGAACGTTCTTTAGCACGCTTCCATTTGGGTAGGGTAGGGCGCAACGTATAGACGATAAAAATCCTACAGACAAACGCAAACGTGTCCTAACCTAATTCCACAAGCGAGGGCTCACATATTATGTGCTTTGCGAGGAGGATGACTCAGAATTAATAATGAAAACGGGATGAAGCAACGACAAGACGCGCTTTTGATCACCTACCGTGGTTGTGGCCACAGGTGAAGATATGCCCCCCTGTCCCACACATTATACAGGTATATATGATGTGTGAGACAGGTGGGTATATCTTCACCCGTGGCAGCTACCCTGCGAAACCCTGCCTTCCCCGGTATGTCGGGGCACCCTCATCCAGTCACCCTAGTCAACTTCTCAATGGATCGCTCAGGTTCCGCACCCGCCACCAGCATCCAACGGAATCTACCGGGTCGACAGCGGCCCAACTTCATTCCTGGTCGGCTCGCAGGTTAACTCTTTCCCAGGTCACCACCGTCCATCAACTTGGGGCGCAATACCTTCCACCATCGAAAGGATTTTCGACCCTGACAGGTCTCGATCCGGGGATCTCCCCGGGGCAATGGTCGCGCGTTAAGTAATGCCAAACCCTAGGTATATATGATATGTGTGAATGTGGTGCTCCTAGCCCATGGACAGGGTAGGTTCCGCACCCACCACCAGCATCCAACGGAATCTGCCAGGTCAACGGCGGCTCAACTCTATTGAGTCAGCTCGCAGGCCAATTTTATCCCAGGTCACCACCGTCCATCGATTAGGGGCATTTTTACCTGCCACCATCGGAACGATTTTTCGATCCTGATAGGAGGTTCCTGGAGGTCCCGGAGGTCCCGGAGGTTTCGATCCCGAGAGTCTCAATTCCGAAACCTCCGGGGTGCTTTACTAGTAGTGCCGACCAGTAGTACCAGAGCTATGTCTTTATCCTCAATTGTGTCTTTCAAATGTGTCTCACCGATCACAACAGTATCAGGACTCGTGACGAACGACCTAATCCCTACCCCGTTGAGCTTGAAAATTCCCGCTTCCAACAGAACGTGGACATTCCACAGTAAAGTCGGTAGCTGTTATACCACGACTTTTCAAAAAAATACCGATCGGTGATTGCAGATCCCGTGATAAGCCCAGAATACTACAGTAGCCCTCATGTTAATTGTGTGCGTCGGCATAGCAGCCCGTCAGCGTTTACCCCAAGGAGGCGGGTGCAGCAGGCATTCCCAACACAGCTGCAGCTGTCCAGATGTCACTGCTGACGCCATGACAGGGGCCACCACTGCCGGACACCGGGCCACAGCGGACGCATGGAGACGAAGGCGAAGAGGAAGGAGGGCAAGAAACGGCATAATGGATACAGGCTTTGAATACAGGTTTGGACTGAAAAGGGGGCTTCATATTTCCAGGAATTTTCCTACGCTAGGAACAGTCATACCCGACGAGCGGGACACTTTTTAACACGCCGTAGGAACGGCATGGCTTTGGTTTTGGGCCTGCTGCAAAAACACCCCTAAAGCGTCTGATCGTACAATGACTACGTTCATAGTACTTGTACTATCAATGTCTAAACATCTCTCGTTCGCTGACCGCTGACGAGGGGACCCGCAGCTCCGCTTGCACACAATACTTCGGCGCAACGGAAATAGTCGTTCTGCGGCCTGCTCAGCAAGATACGTTACATATGCGATAAAAGGCGTGCCCACACATATAGCATTAAAGTTGCGTGACCGACAGCTGGGTGACAATACAGAGGGATGACTTCATTCGCTCGCGAATCGTCCATTTGGGGGATTGGAAACTTATGCAGTATACACGCATTTATTCCCTTCGTTTCCATGACTTGCTGCTGCCAGCAGCAGCAGCAGCCGCACAGTCATGTCTGACATATTTCTTACATGACGGAATAAAAAATATGTCGTTGCCTTTGCTCTGCATGCTTTATCAATCGCTGTAGTAGCTACAATCAATGATACAATTTTCGGGCGACGTACATCCCCATCGGTCTATCTTCTCGAACGAAGGGCCTGCTGACTTGAGCTTAATAATTTATCACAAACCGTAAGGCGCATTGATCCCAGGACAGCGGTGGGGGACGACAGCGTCCGCACTCGGCGCCACGATTGTAACGATATGTAACCGTCCCCACATCTGCGCGTAACTTAATCGTAACTTTAAACTTGCCCAGCTATCGTTGTCTTGTCAGTAAAATAACGAGTAAAATCTTTTTTTCAAGATCATAAGCAACTGAATATATAAAGGAAATATCAAATGTTACCAAATGACGGACTGGACGAGGGTTCGTGGTGCTTGCTTGGGATCCGGCGCTCGGAGAGACACCACCGACGACCAACCGGTTATCGCGTCCAACAGGCACTGTACTGCATCTAATAGTCACCTCAACAAAAAAACATAAAAGACTAGGAAAACTGCCAAATACATGGCATTGTGCCTTCTCGTGCGGACTGTAGGAAAGCCCGCCGCACGGCGCGAAGGCCAATCGAGCAAGCATCGTTCGACTTCCTTGCCGTCGTCCACAGGTACATGCATACTGCTCGTAACTCATGCATGCGTCTGGCTGAGCCTGTAGACCACGCCTTGTTTGAAGACAGAAGAGCAATCCTGTTTTAATGAACGCTGAGAGCGAGTTTTCCGGTCATTTATCACGCACGCACAGGGAAAGCTACAAATTATACATCATCCCAACCAGTGCTGCTGCTCAAGAGAGCCGCCATGCGGCGTCTGGCACTGCCGATCCTGCTTCTTTTGATGACGGCGTCAGGAGGTAGGCAGGATGCCATTGACTCGCTCGCGGAAATGACTGTTGTTGAGATAAACCGGCCACGCACGCACATCGACAACAGCCTTTGGCAAAGTAATCAAGAATTGTATCCTATATCAAGTGGCTTCGCGCACATCCTAGGTGATGCCGGATGGTAATGATTAAAGAAATGA